CTCATGGGGCCCCCTACTGACCCCAGGCCCTCGGGCAGTGCCCGAGTTCCCAAATGGTCAGTCCGCCCCTGGTAACCACATTATCCTTCCTATTTAGTAGAGCTGCACAGTCAGGGGCAAGCCCAAGGTACTCTTCTCATGGGGTCCAATTTTCAGTGCTCTGTGGTATCCCATAGGGGCCAGGTGACAGCACCAGTTTTTCAGGCTCTCTGCCAACTACCAATATTAACATCTTAAGATGGCCATACACTGAGTAAATGTTGGCTAGTACCTAATTAGTTCAGTGGATGTCCCTGTCAGTGCCACCCAAAATCCTTTGATTGAAAAATCAAATAAGCTAAGTGGAAAATGGTTGGCCAAACAGCACCTGCATCCAATCAAATGCAGGCACTGTTTGGGTATTCTGACTAGCAGCACTAGATGTTGCAGTGAGAGATTTGTCTATTCCCACTGTTTAGTGAAGATTGAGGAATCTTACATAGTTATGTAGCTAGTCTGGCTGAAAAAAAGACAAAAGTCCATCCAGTTCAACAATTAAAAAAAAAAATTATAAACCTATACCCACAGTTGATCCAGAGGAAGGAAAAAATACCCAGCAAAGCATGATCCAATTTTCTCCTGCTGGGAAAAAAATTCCTTCCTGATCCCCCAAGAGGCAATCAGATATTCCCTGGATCATCTTTACCTATAAATGTTAGTATCCAGTTATATTCTGTGTATCTAAGAAAGAATCCAGGCCTTTTTTAAAGTAATCCACTGAGGGGGCCAGAACCAACTCTTGAGGGAGTCTATTCCTCATTTTCACAGCTCTCACTGTGAAGAAACCTTTCCGTGTTTGGAAATTAAATTTCTTTTCCTCCAGACGTAAAGAGTGCCCCCTTGTTCTCTGTGATGACCTCAGGGTGAATAACTCTACACTGAGTTGACTATATGAACCACTGATGTATTTATACATGTTGATCATATCCCCCCTTAATCTCCTCTTCTCAGAGAGAATAAATTCAGTTCCTCTAATCTTTCCTCATAGCTGAGCTCCTCCATGCCTCCTATCAGTTTGGTTGCCCTTCTCTGTACTTTCTCCAGTTCCCCAATGTTCTTTTTGTGAATTGGTGCCCAAAACTGAACTGCATATTCCAGATGAGGTCTTACTAATGATTTGTACAGGGGTAAAATGATATCTCTCTCTCTGGAGACAGAATTTGTTTGTTTTTTTTTTTCATTCCGCCCTCAGGTGTATGGCTGACTTTGGATAGTTTTTTTAACTTGTGGCAATGAGCAGTGAAGTGTGCAGGTGGCACAGGTAAGGAAGTTTAATTTGTGACACCAATATGAGTTGAAAAGGTGAGTGAATGGGGTCTGAATAGGGAACATCCTGAGAAAGGAGATACTGTTTTTTTCCCATGCAGGATTATCCGTGGTGCTTCACTGTTGATGGAGAGTGGTATACGGAGTCCAGGCAAAGCCAGAGAGTAATGGTAACCTCTTTTTTTTAATGGAGCTCAAGCAGTCTTTGGATCAAGACTCTCAATCCCCATGCCACTCATCATTGTATCAGCAAATAATAGCAAATATTGTAACCACAATGTTGCCTATTGCTAATTGCTGCAGTTATGGGGGATATGGGTATCTTGTTCCATAATTCACTAAAGCTGCATTTATAAAACAAAGAGGCAGAGGTTCAGTTAAAGTGGAGTTCCACTCAATCTATCAAAAAATAAAAGTCAGCAGCTACAAAAACTGTAGCTGCTGACTTTTAAAAAACAGCCACTTACCTGTCCCTCGGTCCTGTGGTGTGTCCCCTGCAGCTCGTTTCACCGGCCGTCCTGTATTCCAGTGTGGGCACCCAGCTTACGGCTTCACAGCCGGGTACCCACTACGCATGCACGAGTAGCGCTGCGCTTCGTGAATGGTCCTGTAGTCTTCTGGGACCTGTCATGTGTCCCAAAAGACTACAGGAAGGGGGGAAACCTTCCACTTCCGATCGCCAGGGCGATTGGACCGAAAGTGGGAGTGGGTACCTGTCAAATTCGGGCACCCGCTCCCCCCCTGCTCCCCAAAGGTGCCAATGGGGGAGCAGTCCTTAAAGCGGTACTTCATGTTTTGGGTGGAGCTCCGCTTTAAAGTAGAATTCTAGGCTATCACTAGTCCTAAAACATTTCCCATTCCCCTTCTAACACCTATACTGTAAAAGAAAGATGCATAATACCTACCTATTTCCAGGGCGCTCTGGTCTGGTCATGTGATCTACACTGGGTTTTTTAAAAAATATGCAAACCACTTCAAATTAGCATCCAAGGGGACTACATAAGCACAAAATCAGATCAAAATCAGGTCACAGCAGTGTGAATCTGACCTTAAAAGGTCTCTGTCCCTCCCCAGCTTATGACAGGGCAGTGAAAAAAAGCAGCAGAACCATGAACTCATCTCTCTGTCACTCATCTCTCTCCTACAATCAATATGCTGTTTGCAGTGCAATCCAGCTGATTCTCTCCTTGGGTTGCTTCTCCATCCTCCCAGTCTGAGCGCTGCTGTACAGGGATTGCAAGAGCCTGATATGAAGTCAAATTTGTATATATTAACTATACTTGCATTAAAAACACAGTTGAAAAATGTATGACTAATACAGGTTGACACCCTTTTTTTTTTTTTTATACTATTTTTTTATTTTATGTCTACATGTTCAATTATACCTTCCCTGTCTATTTTGAAACAGGGTAAACTGAGTATTGTTCACTTGAGACTTCAGGGATGAAGTCTACCTCAGTTGGAGGGTGTGTAGAGACCCTGCCCTAAGCAGGAGTGTTCCTAAATTAAAAGATAACTACACCTTTGGGAACATGTTACATTTTCCACCTTTTTTAGGGTGGAACACGTAACATGTTCCCATAGCTGCAGCCGACTGATAGTACAGGAGAAGTTTCCCCATACTATCTGTCAGATTTGAAAACAGCGCAGCCATGCGGAGCTCTGCCCACACGGCCGCATCACTCATTCACAGAGTTCTGTGAATGAGTGCCTACAAGTCCCGGCAGCCTTAGGGCTGCGGGCTTGTAGTTTTCATTGAACTACCATGGTACTGTAGAGCGCTATGGTAGTTGATTGATTCTTCTTGTCAGAATATCTGCTTGCTTGTATATCCTGTATGGCAAGCAGATATTCTGACAGGTCTGCAGGAGACTTGCATGGTATCATTGATCTACTGATCGCTGGTGCAATGCTTTCCAGGCTCCTGCAGAGAAAAATAATAAATGCACATTATTTTTTTACCTGCAAAAAAATGTGCATTTCTTATTTTTGTCCAAAAGGTGAACTTATCCTTTAGGTGTTGCAGCTAAGCTGTAGTCAGCATGAGCTTGAATTATTATATTAGCATTCCCCTCCCCTCAGAAGCATGCGCACATCACTCTCATACTCAAAAAGCCCTCCCTGGACCCCACTGACCCAACCACACCTTATACCCATCACCCTTCTGCCATTTACATCCAAACTCCTTGAGCACTTAGTCTACAATCGCCTAATCTCCCATCTCAACGACAACAACCTCCTCGACCCCATAGAGTCCGGCTTCCGTCCCCTACACTCCACCGAAACTGTCTTACTTAAACTCACCAACGAACCTGTTAACCGCCAAAGGTAATGGCCACTATTCAGTGCTCCTACTCCTTGACCTCTCCGCGGCTTTTGACACAGTCGACCACCCCCCTCCTCCTCAACAAACTACAATCCCTCGGCCTCAGAGACTCTGCTCTCTCTTAGCTCTCATCCTACCTATCACAACGCTCCTTCAGCATTACCTATAACACTGCCACGTCCACCTCACTCCTCCTCTCTGTCGGGGTCCCTCAAGGCTCTGTCCTCGGGCCCCTTCTCTTCCCATCTACACTTCCTCCCTTGGCCAACTGATACACTCACCACGGCTTCAACTACCCACCTGTCAGGGCTCCCATGTGTGACCAGAGGTGTGTGGCTGACGCAGGGAAACGCAAGACCTCAGATATGTTATAAATAATATAATTTATTAACACTAACAATACAAACATAAACGCAGTGCAATACTAAAAACATAATACAGTGCAACCAACCAAACCAAACCAACCACCCACAGATAACAGTACATACAAGCAAGCGTCGTCAGGCAGGCCGGGTCAATATCAATAGGGCAGGTAGGTACAGGGGGAGCAAGCGGGAGATTGGTCGGTCACAGGCCAGGTTCAGCAGGTAGCAAGCAGCGTAGTACAGAGGGTCAGGCAGAGGGATGGTCAGGGATCACAAGCCAGGGGATCAGAACAGGTAGCAAGCAGCGTGGTACAGAGGGTCAGGCAGAGGGATGGTCAGGAGCGAGCCGGGATCAGAGCAGGAGAAGTCAGCAGCGGTTCAGAAACAGGATGCAGGACAGAAAACAGGATACAGGGCCCAGGACAAACACAACACCAAGTCTGTGGGTCTGGCCATCCCTTAAATACCCCAGCATAAATCAGTTCCAGGTGTTAGCTGGCTGCAAAGTTGAGTCTCTGATTGCTGGGGGAGCATCCGCTGGCCAGCCCTGGTACATGCCAAGATCAAAAGGCAGGTGAGTCCCACCATTGCTGGCCAGTCCATTCCTGACAGTACCCCCCCCACAAGGAGCGGCCTCAGGACGCTCCAAACAGTCCTAGCTGGGAAAAATGTTCCACGCCCGGGTCTGGTAACTGGCGGGATATCAAAGACTGGCAAACTGGGCAGGACTCCGGGCAGCGGTTACACGGGCAGAGGCACACCGGGCAGAGGCACATCGGGCTGGACTCCGGGGGCAGAGGCACACACCGGGCTGGACTCCGGGAGAGGAGGCACACCGGGCAGAGGCACATCGGGCTGGACTCCGGGCAGAGGCACATCGGGCTGGACTCCGGGCAGAGGCACACCGGGCAGAGGCACACCGGGCAGAGGCACATCGGGCTGGACTCCGGGCAGAGGCACACCGGGCTGGACTCCGGGAGGAGGCACAACCGGGCAGAGGCACATCGGGCTGGACTCCGGGCAGAGGCACATCGGGCTGGACTCCGGGCAGAGGCACATCGGGCTGGACTCCGGGCAGAGGCACATCGGGCTGGACTCCGGGCAGAGGCACATTGGGCTGGACTCCGGGCAGAGGCACATCGGGCTGGACTCCGGGCAGAGGCACACCGGGCAGAGGCACATCGGGCAGAGGCACATCGGGCTGGGGACTCGGGCAGAGGCACATCGGGCTGGACTCCGGGCAGAGGCACATCGGGCTGGACTCCGGGCAGAGGCACATCGGGCTGGACTCCGGGCAGAGGCACATCGGGCTGGACTCCGGGCAGAGGCCACATCGGGCTGGACTCCGGGCAAGAGGCACATCGGGCTGGACTCGGGCAGAGGCACATCGGGCTACCAGGCGAAGCAGCAGGCAGCGGGCCACCGGGCGGAGCGGCAGGCACCGGGCCCCCGGGCGGGGTGGCAGGCACCGGGCCCCCTGGCGGGGCGACAGGCCTCGGGCCCTCAGGCGGGGCGACAGGCCTCGGGCCCCCAGGCGGGGGCGACAGGCCTCGGGCCCCCAGGCGGGGCGACAGGCCTCGGGCCCCAGGGGGAGCGGCGGGCGCCGGACCCCCAGGCGGAACTACAGGTCTCGGCCCCTCAGGCGGAGCGGCGGGCGCCGGACCCCACAGATGGAGCGACAGGTCTCGGGCCCTCAGGCGGAGCGGCGGGCGCCGACCCCCAGATGGAGCGACAGGTCTCGGGCCCTCAGGCGGAGCGGCGGGCGCCGGACCCCCAGATGGAGCGACAGGTCTCGGGCCCTCAGGCGGAGCGGCGGCGCCGGGCCCCCAGATAGAGCGACGGGCCTCGGGCCCCCCAGGCGGGGCGACAGGCATCGGGCCCCCAGATGGAGCGACGGGCATTCGGGGCCCCCAGGCGGGGGGCGACAGGCATCGGGCCCCCAGGCGGAGCGGCGGGCGCTGGACCCCCAGGCGGAGCTACAGGTCTCGGGCCCTCAGGCGCGGAAAGCGGCGGGCGCCGGACCCCCAGATGGAGCGACAGGTCTCGGGCCCTCAGGCGGAGCAACAGGTCTCGGGCCCCAGACGACAGCGGCGGGCACCGAGTCACCAGGCACGACAGTGGGCACCGAGTCGTCTGGCAAGACTGCGGGCATCGAGTCAACTGGCGGAACTGCGGGCACCGAGTCGTCTGGCAAGACTGCAGGCACCGAGTCGTCTGGCAAGACTGCGGGCAACCGAGTCGTCTGGCAAGACTGCGGGCATCAAGTCGTCTGGCGGAACAGCGGGCATCGAGTCAACTGGCGGAACAGCGGGCACCGAGTCGTCTGGCAAGACTGCGGGCACCGAGTCGTCTGGCAAGACTGCGGGCACCGAGTCGTCTGGCAAGACTGCGGGCACCGAGTCAACTGGCGGAACAGCAGGCATTGAGTCAACTGGCGGAACAGTGGGCATCGAGTCAACTGGCAAGACTGCGGGCACCGAGTCGTCTGGCAAGACTGGCGGGCACCGAGTCGATCCCGGCAAGACTGCGGGCACCGAGTCGTCTGGCAAGACTGCGGGGCACCGAGTCGTTTGGTGGAACACATGCGGGCATCAAGTCAACTGGCGGGACTGCGGGCACCGAGTCGTCTGGCAAGACTGCGGGCACCGAGTCGTCTGGCTAGACTGCGGGCACCGAGTCGTCTGGCAAGACTGCGGGCACCGAGTCGACTGGCGGAACAGCGGGCACCGAGTCGTCTGGCAAGACTGCGAAGCACCGAGCCAACTGGCGGAACAGCGGGGCACCGAGTCGTCTGGCAAGACTGCGGGCACCGAGTCGTCTGGCGGAACAGCGGGAACCGAGTCGTTATCTGGCAAGACAGTGGGCTCCGAGTCAACAGGCACGACAGTGGGGCACCGGGTATCAGGTATCGGATTGTCCTGGCTCGACAGCGGGCATCGGGTCACCAGGTCATGAGGAGCGGGCACTGGGTCACCAGGCATCAGGTCATTTGGCTTGCCAGCGGGCTCCACGTCATTCTGGCAAGGCAGTGGGCACCGGGTCACCAGGTATGACAGCGGGCTCTGAGTCCATTGGCACGTCAGCGGGCACTGGATCAGGTACGGATCATCTGGATCAACAGCGGGCATCGAGTCAACTGGCCTAATAGGATCGTCGGCTGGATCAGTTCATTATGCTGAGTAGCGGGCATCAGGCTGAATGCAGGCATCAGGCTGAGTAGAGGCTTCAGGGAGTTGAGAGGCTTCAGGCTGAGTAGAGGCTTCAGGTTGAAGAGAGGCATCGGCTGAAGAGAGGCATCAGGCTGAAGAGAGGCATCCGGCTGAAGAGAGGCATCCGGCTGAGAGAGGCTTCAGGGCTGAGTAGAGGCTTCAGGCTGAGTAGAGGCTTCAGGCTGAGTAGAGGCTTTCAGGCTGAGTCACGGAAGGCAGGTTCACCGGTTTGGATACTGGCAGGATGGTATTGGTTGGAAAGAATTTTCGCTTTTTTCTGGTTTTAACTACTGGAGCACTGCAAGTAAACGAGGTCTGCAAACGAATGGAGCAGCTGGAGACAGAGAAAAACTGGAGGATGGAACAGGAGAGGGAGCAGTTGCTACAGAGGGCTTTTTTACAGGGTTAAAGGCAGGATAGGTGCAGCGAGTGGGAACAGGGTACTGACATGCGGTAGATAGCCAAGTATACTGGGCTGTAACTGGAGGAGCTGGTGGGAATACAGGAGTAGAGTTAGAAGCAGGACTGGGTTTTTGTAAGCTGACTGAGGCTGGGTGCAACAAGTCTGACCATGTCTGCAGTATGGGTTGAACAAAGCTGAGCTTACACAAAGCCTGTCTGGTCAATGACTGCACTGCGTTTATACAATCTCTTAGTGTCTGTGGTGAACATGTGGAATAACGCTCCAGAAAGTAACCCACATCATCCTCTAATAACCACACCAGGGACTTTACCTGGTCTGCACTAAATGGTGGCAAAAATTCATCCCTGCATTCGGGGGACCAGATGAAACCAACTCAGCACAAACCTCAATCAAAGGCTGCACCTCAGAGAACTCTGTGCCCTGATCTACTAGAACATGAGCGAGCCGTATACATTCTAGTAGTTGATCCCTGGGATACTCCTTCAGAGTTTGATAAGCATACTCCCTGTCATCAAACACTAGCAGATATAAATACACAACCTCATCCAGATCCATCCTTCCCAGCAACAAGCCAAGATGGCTTCTCTGTGCAGCCACTTCTGGTCAGGATTGGCCTTGGTGTAATGTCAGGGCTCCCAGGTGTGACCAGAGGTGTGTGGCTGACGCAGGGAAACGCAGACCTCAGATATGTTATAAATAATATAATTTATTAACACTAACAATACAAACATAAACGCAGTGCAATACTAAAACATATTACAGTGCAACCAAACCAAACCAAACCAACCACCCACAGATAACAGTACATACAAGCAAGCGTCGTCAGGCAGGCCGGGTCAATATCAATAGGGCAGGTAGGTACAGGGGGAGCAAGCGGAGATTGGTCGGGGTCACAGGCCAGGTTCAGCAGGTAGCAAGCAGCGTAGTACAGAGGGTCAGGCAGAGGGATGGTCAGGGTCACAAGCCAGGGAACAGAACAGGTAGCAAGCAGCGTGGTACAGAGGGTCAGGCAGAGGGATGGTCAGGAGCGAGCCGGGATCAGAGCAGGAGAAGTCAGCAGCGGTTCAGAAACAGGATGCAGGACAGAAACAGGATACAGGGCCCAGGACAAACACAACACCAAGGCAGAGTCTGTGGGTCTGGCCATCCCTTAAATACCCCAGCATAATCAGTTCTTGGTGTCATTCTTGACTCCAATCTATCCTTCCAGCCCCAAGTCCATTCACTAACAAACTCATGCAGACTCCACCTCCGCAACATCGCCAAAATACGACCATTCCTAACCCCAGAAACCACTAAACAACTCATCCACTCCCTCATCATATCATGACTCGATTACTGCAACTTCCTCCTCACTGGCCTCCCTCACCACAGATTATCCCCGCTTCAGTCGATCCTGAATACGGCAGCCAGACTCATCCACCTTACCAACCACTCCGTTTCCGCCACCCCCCTCTGCCAATCCCTCCACTGGCTTCCGATTGCCCAACGGATCAAATTCAAAATGCTTACACTGACGTACAAAGCTGTCCATAATACCGCCCCAAAACTACATCACCGACCTAATATCCAAATACCACTCTCCGCTCCTCACAAGACCTCCTTCTCTCTAGTTCCCTGGTCTCCTCCTCCCATGCCCACCTCCAGGACCTCTCCAGGGCATCACCCATCCTCTGGAACTTCCTACCCCAATCCATCAGACTATCACCTACTCTCCTCTCCTTTAGGAGCACCCTGAAAACCCACCTCTTCAGGGAAGCCTACTCCACCCCCTGCTAATTGCTGATCTCCTCCACTCTTCCTACCATTCCATCCCCCACAGCTTTTCCTCCTGTACCACTATCCCCCCCCGCTCCTAGATTGTAAGCTCCAAGGAGCAGGACCCTCAAACCCCTCATGTATCGCATTGTATTGTTATTGTACTGTCTCATGTATTGTCTCCCATTGTAATGTACAGCTCTGAGCGAACTATTGGCGCTTTATAAATACTGTATATTAATAATAATAGTTCTGCTTTCGTTTGGTTTTCTCTAAGCTTAGACTATTGTTTGCTTCTGCCTGTTGCAGGGGGTGTTCCTATTAGATAGAGCGTTAAGACACAACAGCACAGAGTTATGTTTATGTCTCTTTGGACAACCACTAAAAAGTTTAGCCTCTGTTCACACTAGTAGGACTTCAAAGTCGTGGGCTTTCCAATGCGGCTTTGCAGTTCAACTTTCATGCAACTTTTATACTCTGTGACACTCAAGTCATAAGAAAGTCGCATCAAAGTAGTGCAGGAACCTTTTACTGTTACTTTAGTCGTATGCAATGGGTGCCATTGAAATAAGTGGGTTTCAACTTCTCATGCAACTTTATGCGTATCAAATTGCACTAGTGTAAATTGAGCCTTATTGCCAGTGGTACATTCTGGGGAAGGATATAAATACTTTGAGTAGTTTTCCAGAAAGGACCTTGCCTCCTGGGCTGCTGTCAGGAGTGCTGATCTCTGCTACCCAGGCCTGCTGCCTTGGGAGGGTGAGGTTAAAACTGGCCATACATTTTCAACCAGCAGGTTGCATAAAAAAAAAGGTCTAATTCCCCCATCCTCACATTCAAGATAAATGGGGAATCATTGCTGCTGTGGTATTGTATTCTGACAATGGGAAGCCTTCCCCACTGTCAAAATACAATTTTTGTAGTGCCAGCGGCACTTATTGTACAATCAACTGATCAACTTGTGTACAACCAGCTTGCCCATACATGGATCAAAATTTGTCTGGTCCCCGCTGAACCGACCAAATTTCGATCCATTTACAGCTGGCTTAAGAGTTGGCTTTTTGTTTTAGAAGCCAAAAAGACTACGCACTCCCTTGATAGAGTGGAGCAGGAAAAATGCTGAATGTATGGAGCATCTTG